GGGGCGGGGGCAGGCAGGGCTGCACACGGAGACACGGACACACTGAGTGCACCCCAACACACACACCCCCCAACACACACACAGACGCACGCGCGCACACACACACTGCACACCAACATGCACACACCGCAACACACTGCGCACCAACACACAGCCCTGTGAACGCATATGCAGGCTCGCAGGCTCACCTGAACCACACTGCATGTGTACAGTGTGCATACACAGTGTGTGTACATAGATGTAGAATGCACCCAGACACTGAGTGTACCCACACATAGTGCACACAGGGTGCCTGCATACGCAGAGTGCACCACACAAACTGACGTGCCAGCATGTGTGCACTCAAGGTGGGCGCATATATACAGTGTGCACCACGTAGGTATGCTGGACTTGTCCCACTTGCACATCACTGCTTGCCTGCTGCAGCTGTAAACAGATTGGCTCTTCAACACCCAAACGTGCATACTGCCTGTAGTAGTTATGTTCTCTGGTGTATGTTTTTTGGGAAGGACCTGGTGGCAAACGGCTGCAGAGAGCAGGGTCGCAGTGAACTTCCCAAAGAGGCTGTGATGCCACACTTGTTTTTTTCCTGCTAGCTGTTAGCAGGCAGTGCTTGTAGCCAGGTGCTGCTGCCTGCCATGGGGCCTGCACACCCTCATCCCTCAAGCAGAGCATTCAGCAGGGGTCTATTGGGGGTGTCTGATCCCAGCTTCTGCCTCCCCTCCTGCTTGGAACCCCCTGTGTTGCCCCACCCCCCCGGAGAGGCCACCATGCCCAGCACCCGGAACCAATGACTCTGTGACATCAGCCCCGGGAACAAGGGCACCGTGGACAACGTGACTACTGCGGGCACTACGTTGGCTGCCGCACTGGTGGCGACAAGCCCTTGGTTCTTGCAGCTGCCAACTGCCGCTGGCAGCGATGAATTTGCTCCCCCTCCTTGTCCTGCTGGCCGTGTGCTGGCCTGCGCACAGCACATGGGACAACTGTGGGTAAGTGGGCCAAGGCTCTGGGAGGGAGCTTGGGCAACCCTTACGGGGTTCACTGGAGGGTGCCCGCTTGTCCCCTGTGGCCACACCACAGCTTCCCGAACCCCATGTGGGAACCTCAGTTCCTTGCCAGCACCCAGGCTGCTGGGACAACTTGTCTACGGGGCTAAAGCAGAAACAGGGGTGGACGGACGTATGCCCCACGGGGTTCCCTGGCCCTGCTGTCCATGCAACACCTTGTGCGGAGGGAAGATGGCTGACCTTCAGCCTGAACAGCAGCAAGCCATCGAGCAGGACAGTAACGAGTTTCTGGTTACAGAGGGACCTGCGGGCTCCGGCCCATGGCTTCTCACTACGGCATGTCGCGTGTCGTGGGTGGCACAGATGCCCAGCCAGGGGCCTGGCCCTGGATCGTCAGCATCCAGGATCCCTGGAAAATAGGCACGGGGCATATATGCGGAGGGTCCCTCATCAGCCCACAGTGGGTCCTCACAGCAGCCCACTGCTTCATCGAAGCCAGGTAAGGAGGACCAGGGAATGGGGATATCCCCACAATACTAGCAGGTGCCCTGTCCGCAGCACCACGTGCTACTCCCATCCCATTTCCTTGCAGTACGTCCAGCGCCTGGGCACACCAGAGCCCAGCTGAGAGACTGCTCAGGAGAAGGCTGGGCTTGTGCCACTGCTTCCTAGCAGCCTCCAGCTCGACATTCCTTGTGCCTAAGGCATGCTGGGGCCATCACACCCTCCGTAGCACTGCTTTCCTCTCTCCCTTGTGAAGCAGAAGGCAGGGAAGTGCTGGGCTGCTGCAGCACATGGCTCCGCTCCCTCTGACCCCTCTCTCCATCTGCCTTCCAGGCACATCACAATGTGGCGCGTGGTGATTGGGGCCACCCAGTTGACTCAGCTGGGCCCTGAGGCCCAAGTGCGCAATATTAAGCGGCTACTGGTTCACGAACGCTATAGCAATATCTCGGAGAGGAACGACATTGCGTTGCTAGAATTGGACCAGCCTGTCCAGTGCAGCTACTATATACAGCTTGCCTGTGTGCCTGACGCCTCGCTGAGAGTGTCAGAGCTGACAACCTGCTACATCAGTGGTTGGGGTTCCACGACTGCAAGATGTGAGTTCCCAAAAAGTACTCGTGTCCTGAGTGCAAGCTTGGCACACTGGGGAGGTGGGTTGGGCTTCCTGACAGCAGAGGCAAAAGTCAGAGTCAGGCCGTGGGGACGTATGCCCACAGAGAGATGGGCCTGACCCATTACCCAAAGCAAGACAGAAGGGAAACACCGGTACAATGACTCTCAAGATGCAAAGCCAAGCCCTAGGGAAGGGGTTCACCCAGACAGGGGAGGAGAACTGGCAACGAGCTGCTGGGTGTTAACTCCTTTCTGTGCTCACAGCTGGACGATCAACTGATGTCCTGCAGGAGGCCAAGGTCCGTCTCATTGATGTCAACCTCTGTAACAGCAGCCGGTGGTATAGAGGGGCCATCCACACTCACAACTTGTGTGCTGGCTATCCGCAGGGTGGCATTGACACCTGCCAGGTAGGAGCATGCTACAAGTCAACCCCCAGCAGCACAGGCAGCCCTGTCACAACCGCCCAAACACACCCCGGCACGCACTTTGCCTGGCAAGTGACCCTCCCACCGCTGGGTCCCCACCGCTGTTGGGGCTCACCTCCCCTTCCCCATCTGCAGCTCCTTGCCCAGTGCCTCCCTTGTCCCAGAGGCCTGGGACTCTGCCCAGAAAGCCCATCCGGTGCTCTTGGCAGCCCATAGGTCCAGATCCCAATCCTGGAACATCTGTCTTCCACACATCCAGGATCACTGTGCAGAGATGAGAGAGCCCTACCTTACAGGCCCACGACCCCCTCCCAGACAAGGTTCTGTAAGCTCCAGCACCTGAGCAGAGCCTTTCTGAGCAGTGAATACAGCTCCAGCAGGTGCTGTGAGAGAGAAGGAGCCAGCCACAGTGCTGACAGTGGCCACCCAGCACCACTTTAATCCTCTCTCCTCCGCTGCAGGGTGACAGTGGTGGTCCTCTCGTGTGCAAAGACAACAATGCTGACTACTTCTGGCTTGTTGGAGTGACCAGCTGGGGGAAAGGCTGTGCGAGAGCAAACCAGCCGGGAGTCTACACCTCCACTCAGCACTTTTATGACTGGATCCTGGTACAGATGGGATTGCGCCCAGAAGTAA